GTGGAAATTTACACAATGGAAAAGCCAGAGCCCTGATGGGAAGCAGGGGTGGCACCCCAAGCCCAGGGCTGTTTCTCCCACCTTGCCCTGCAGGCCTCTTCCAGACCCTCTGCACGGAAGTTCAGACTCTCTTTCATACTGTGAACTTCATATTACTTTGTTAAGTGAAAATCTGTATCACTTGCAATTTTTTGTTCTAATTCTAATTTGTATTCTCTTTAAAAAATAAAATTTTTTTTAAAACTTCTCTTCAGAAACTGAGTTGGCTAAAACAACTGACACGAGATGAACACGGGAAAATAAATGTACTGATTGCGCCTGGACAAAGCGTGAAAGGCAAAGAATGATCAGATGGATGATATCTGAGCACGCTCTTCCCGGGAGACAGAGACCTCGGGCTGTATGCGAGGTTAGCAGGACTGTAAGTAATTTTCAGGGGAGGGAATGACTGACCCAGAGAACAGAAGGTGGCCCGGGACAACGCTCCTCTGAGCTGCAGCGGGCTTGATGTCAGCCTCTTCCTCGGTGACAGGAGTTTAGTCTGCTTTGGTTAATGATACTTCCGTAAGAAGATCCAAAACCCACCGGGCTCCTTCCGCAGACCTCATGTTTGTGTGGACCAGGGAGCCTCCGAGAAAGACCCCTGCATTTGCCTGTCCTTCACTGGCAGGAGACAAGGCGGGACCCAGTCTGGCTTTGGGCTCATAACTCCCGCCTGGCCTTGGGCTCTGGGAGGCCGGAGCGCATCCTGCTCTGGCAGGGATTCCCTAACACCTGACAAGAGCCTGAGCAAAGGCCCTGCCATCTCGCAAAGCAACAGGGTGCTGGCAAACAGACAGACCCAAGGATCAATGGAAGACGCAGGGCGCTGGTGAGATGGCTCAGTGGTCTAAAGCACCTACTTAGACAAGCTTAGCAAAGAACATAGACCGCGGTTCAATTCCCCAGCACCACATGCCAGCCAACCTGGCCCCCTGGTGGGCTGAGCTGGCCACACACACACACACACATAAATAAATAAAATTTAAAAACAAATGGAAGACGCAGAAAGAACTGCAAACACACTCGGCCACCTTATCTTTTTTAAAATTCAATTTTATCTTGTTTTGAAGAGTAAAAACAGAAGCAAAGGGGCCGGGGAGATGGCTCAGTAGAATAAACACTTGCCTGGCAAGCGCAAGGGCCTGAGTTCAACCCCTGGTTCCGCCAAAAAAAAAAGAAGCAAAAACAAATAGAAAAAAAGACAGAGACAGGGTAACACACAACAATACATATGTTACAGATTTTCAAAACAGGAATAGCTAATTAACAATGGTTGTTATATTATCTATTTTTACCATCAAATCTGTTGCTCAAATTAACAGATATAGTTTTGGAACATTGGACAAATAATTGAATATTACAGCTTGCATTCAAGGAATCTTAACTTTTTTCCTTGTCTTTTTAAAAAAAATTATTTTAAACACAGTATAATAATTGATAAGACATTAGATTTTTTTTTTTTGAACAGGGGATTGAACTCAGTTCCTTGCACTTGCCAGGCAAGCACTTATCCTATTGAGCTATCTCCCCAGCCCTGATAAGACATTAGAAATGGTATACATTTAGAAGACCAAGATGAAAGGTATTCACCCAGAGGAATTTGTATTACACATTGCTGTACCTGATGTGGTTGCTCAGATCACAAAAAGGAGCAAAACATGTTCACTGGGGGAAAAAAAAACCCAAAACATAGCCTCTTTAATAAGTGGTGCTGGAAAAACTGGCTTTCCACATACAGAAAACTAAACCTAGACTTGTATATTTCACCATGCACTGAAGCCCAAATGGATCAAAGATCTAAATATTAAAACTGAAACACTAAATCTACTAGAAGAGAAAGCAAGTACAAGTCTTGAAGATATGGGTGTAGGCAAAGACTTGATGAACAACAGACTGAGTGCACAGGAGACACTACAAAGAACCAACACCTGGGATCACATCTTATTAAAACGTTTTTGCACAGCAAAAGAAACCACCAACAGAGTAAAGAGACAACCCATAGTGTGGGTGGAAAAATTATCAGAATATCTAGAATATATAAAGAACTTAAAAAAATCAAACTCCCCAAATTTAAAGACCCAAGCCAAAACTGGGCATATGAAGTAAATAGATACTTCTCAGATGAAGAAGTAGAAATGGCAAATAAATATATGAAAAAATGTTCAGCATCATTGGACAATGAAAAATACAAATTAAAACAACACTGAGATTCCATCTCACCCCAGAAAGAATAGCTAAAATTAAGAAATCAAGCAAAGGCAAATACTGGAGGGGATGTAAGGGAAAAGGAACATTTCTCCACTGTTGGTGGGAGTGTAGAGTGGTGCCAGCAATGTGGAAATCAGTAAGGATATTCCTCCAAAAACTAGGACTGGAGGCTCCATTTGACCCAGTTATTCCCCTTCTTGGTCTCTTCCTGAAAGAATTAAAAGCTTCATATCACAGAGCTAAGCACACACTCATGCTTATATCATAGCTTATAATAGCTAAATCTTGGAAACAGCCCAAATGACCATCAACCAATGAATGGATAAAGAAGATGTGTTTGTTTTATGCAATGGAATACTATTCTCCCATAAGGAAGGACAAGCTTGAGACATTTCTAG